TTCCAGAAGTGTTCTCTTTGTATTGTCGGAAACGGGTTTTAATACTCTTAGAAAGGATTTTGGCACGTGGAATTGCCACTGGATCGACCTAAAATCCACAAGACACGACAATAGCAAAAAGGTTTTGGGAACGTGAATTCCTTACTTTTCTATTATCAATCGAGGTAGGATACTTTATGTGCAAGTTGTTCCGTCCTTTCAATATTATAGTTTTTTTGACGTGATTTATTTCATGAAATACTAATCGACCTGCGGGTCCAATGAAATGAAATGAAATGTTTGACCTGCGGGTCTCTATGAAATGAAATGAAATGTTCTACCTGCGGGTCCCTACGAAATGAAATGAAATGTGAGATCGCCTTCGGGTCTTCTCAAATTGTATTAGAGCTTTCGACTGATCACCGATTGCTCTTGACGAAATGTTGGTATTAAATGTTATGAGTTTACGTTTTAAATTATTATATTGTTTGGACGCACGTATCCTACTGAGTGTAATTACTCACTCCTTCAATTTCAATATTTCAGATCAGTACGGTCAATGTGGATGTTGGCTGAGCGGTGCGTGGGTTGCCAAGTAAAGAAAAACTTCGCAAGAAAATGTTTTAAAATAATTCTGTTAGGATTATGTGCTTCAATTTAATTCTGTTTAATGTTCTATGTTTACGCGACATTTTGTTCATTCAATTTGGTATTTGAGTATTAAATAAATCAAGAGTTTTAAATTTCGAATTAAATATTTTCGCTTTATGTATGCGTTACGAAATGATATCGGTAACACCTCAAAATTTTAAGTCGATAAAATTTGGGGCGTTACAGTATGCTCTCTCGCATTTAATAACGTATTTTCAGCTCAAGAAAATATGAGTTCTTTTAAGTTAAAACTAAGTTATTTCAATTCAAGGAAACATAGATAATAAGCATCGTTTTTATTATTTAACAATATTTCTTTTAAGATAATTAGGAAAAGAAGCTAGTATTTTATCATAATAATCAATGTTTATCTTTTCTAATAGAGAAAGAGATTTAATTATTTTTAATCCTTGTTTACATTTATCTGCCAATATTTCTGATTTTCTGGTACTCGTGATTTAAGTAGTTTGCAAAGTAATATGTAGGGAGAGATATTTTTAGTTAACTATGATTGATTGATGTTTGGATAAAATAATTTTCTCTTAGATTAAAAATTCATTTGCTTTGATTTTGGAATCCTACTTAGAATATTGATTTAACATTTTTGACTTTTTGACCATTCTAAGATGACACACGTTTTTAGGCCTAGCTTTGAATGAATTGGTTATTATATAATAATATTTTTCGACATTCTCTAGCCTCTAGGCATGATGCATGGCAATCATACCTTGTACTCTCAATTGTGTCAATTGCCTTTAAATTAGAATTGGTAAATTTCCTTATGATAAGAGTATGGGTAGCCACACGTGCACGCACATTTCCAACTCTCAATTAGGATAAAGGCTAATTTTAATTGCTAATTGAATTTGAATAATGGTAAGACACGATTTGGGGCCTCTAACAAATTTAGTTATTTTGGGCATATAGTCCAATTAAGCTTATAATATACTATTTAATTATTTATTTCATTTTATATGATGATATGATAACCTGTCATTTTATGTAAATTGACACTAACTTGACCATTCTTATGTTAAATAGATCCTAATTAATTTAATTTGATTGATATCCAAACAAAGAGTTTTTGTAATTGGACAGATTAATGAGCTAATTGCCGAGATTTTTGTTGGTTAGATTGCATAATTACCGTTTATATATTTTTAACAAATTTGGCAGTCAAAACCTTTCTTAATTTTACACCTCCCTTACACTATAAATTCATTCCAAATCCTCGAAAATTTATGAGATAAAAACCACTCTCTTCCATCTTCACTTAACTCTCCACTGCCTGTCCAATTCTCCATTCCAGAAGTGTTCTCTTTGTATTGTCAAAAACGGGTTTTAATACTCTTAGAAAGGATTTTGGCACGTGGAATTGCCAATGGATCGACCTTAAATCCACAAGACAAGACAACAGCAAAAAGGTTATGGGAACGTGAATTCCTTACTTTTCTATTATCAATCGAGGTAGGATACTTTATGTGCAAGTTGTTTCGTCCTTTCAATATTATAGTTTTTGACGTGATTTATTTCATGAAATGCTAATCGACCTGTGGGTCCAATGAAATGAAATGAAATGTTCGACCTGCGGGTCTCTATGAAATGAAATGAAATGAAATGAAATGTTCGACCTGCTGGTCCCTACGAAATGAAATGAAATGTGAGATCGCCTTCGGGTCTTCTCAAATTGTATTAGAGCTTTCGCCTAATCACCGATTGCTCTTGACGAAATGTTGGTATTAAATGTTATGAGTTTACGTTCTAAATTATTATATTGTTTGGACGCACGTATCCTACAGAGTGTAATTACTCACTCCTTCAATTTCAATATTTCAGATCAGTACGGTCAACGTGGATGGTGGCTGAATGGTGCGCGGGTTGCCAAGTAAAGAAAAACTTTGCAAGAAAACGTTTTAAAATAATTCTGTTAGAGTTATGTGCTTCAATTTAATTATGTTTAATGTTATATGTTTACGCGACATTTTGTTTATTCAATTTGGTATTTGAGTATTAAATAAATCAAGAGTTTTTAAATTTCGAATTAAATATTTTCACTTTATGTATGTGATACGAAATGATATCGGTAACACCTCAAATTTTAAGTCGATAAAATTTGGGGCGTTACAGTATGGTATCACCGATTGTTCTTGACGAAATGTTGGTATTAAATGTTATGAGTTTACGTTTTAAATTATTATATTGTTTGGACGCACGTATCCTACTAAGTGTAATTACTCACTCCTTCAATTTCAATATTTCAGATCAGTACGGTCAACGTGGATGGTGGCTGAGCTGCGCGCGGGTTGCCAAGTAAAGAAAAACTTCACAAGAAAACGTTTTAAAATAATTCTGTTAGGATTATGTGCTTCAATTTAATTCTGTTTAATGTTCTATGTTTACGCGACATTTCGTTCATTCAATTTGGTATTTGAGTATTAAATAAATCAAGAGTTTTAAATTTCGAATCAAATATTTTCGCTTTATGTATGCGTTACGAAATGATATCGGTAATACCTCAAAATTTTAAATTGATAAAATTTGGGGCGTTACAGTATGGTATCAAAGCTAAGTGTTTTAAAATCGATTCTGTAGACTCAAAAGAAAAATAATTACGAATTTTATTTTTAAAAGTTTGATATTAAATTTCTGCATGCTTTCATTGATTTAGATAATAATTTTAAAATGGAAGTAGTTTAGATTTAAATCACTATTTATGTCATTATCCATGTTATGCACTGTATGTATTTACTTGATTGCTCTACTTTTGAGTAATGTTTGTGTAATTTTGTTTTCTTGAAGGATAACTCTTTATTGATTCTTAAAAAAAAAAAAAATTCAAGGGATTTCACTTTGAATTATTGTTTGAATCTTTTGACTTGTGTAGTCGTAAAATTGAAAGGCTTTGTCAAAAAGACCTAAACTGTCTAAGAAGAGCTTGAGATTTAAGCGGTCCATTTGTGACCCCCTCCTCATCTGGAAGCCTTTTAATTGCGCGTTACTCAAATTCGATGGGGGTGAAAAATAATATTTCAAAGCGTTCAAGATTTTTCTTTAAATAAATAAATGTGGTGTTTAGTCACTGTCTTAAAATTTTTTAAAAATTTCCCAACTGCATCTTGTGTGTTCCACTATCTGCATA